TAAAATTTGAAAAACAGGTCAGGGTACTGAGGTGGCTTGCTTATGATCCAGCATTTTTGCCAGGTATACTTGATCAAAGATTTAAACAGTGGGCTCACAGAGAAACTACCTCATCCTGTACAACAATGGAAAAGGGAGATCTATTAAGTTTTCAGACTCTTAAAGATAAATAGGGTTTGGCAAACCAGGACTTTTTCTGATACCTACAGATATGTCAGTACTTTCTAAAAGAAATCAAGGAGCACGATTTAAATCATACAGACCATTACCCAGATATACAATAAAGGTACTCGTAGAACAGTACCAACACTGTATCAGGGTATAATGAGCTCTAGAAAAGAAACGACAGATTATATTAAGACAAAATGGGAAGAAGAACTCAATATTGCCATCACTAACCAGGAGTGGGAGAACATGTGTAAAACACAATGCACTTCCACAAACTCAAAAAGATGGCAGGAATTTTGCTGGAAAACTTTAACTCGATTCTTCATAACCCCCAAAATAAAATCGTCTCGTCTTAGTTTGCCACAACCCTGTTGGAGAGATTGTGGTAACAGAGACGCAGGGCGTTCCCATATATTTTGGTAGTGTCCAGTAATTCAATATTATTGGGAAGAAGTGCGGTCTCAGATTCAAGATATATTGTTTAGAAATCCCAAGTCTTGTTCAGTTCTGTATCTGGGTAATCTGCCTGATGAGGTTGTGGGAAGAGATAAATACTTGCTAAAAGTACGAAGAGGTTACAAAGGTTACAAAGAGACCCCCCCCCCCGCCAAATGTATGATTTATGAAATTGAAAAACTAACCTTCCAGTTAAGACTCCAGAAGGAAGTTTTTGAGAGATATTGGGAGGGGTAGATTATTTCTAGAACATAATGATAATGACTTTATGCATTATACCCTCTTTAAAAATGCAAAAGAACGATACACACCAGACTTCATACTCATTTATATTTGTAATACTTGAGGTTTCAAAATGTCCTCGGGGAGATTCTGACTCCGCCGGCCTGAGCCGCAGATCCCGGCTGTAACCGGCCACACCGCTCCTTCACAGACGAACCTCCAGAACCAGACTCTCGGCTCAGTGAGAATAAACCCTTTACTGTCTAACTACCGAGCCCGAAGGAAATAATGTGGTATTTTCACCAGAACCACTCGTTCATTTAACCTTTTAAGCTTATACACGTTTCTTAAAAAAAGTGCGCCACGAATTTTAGGCCTCACGCGGAAACAGGAAGTTTCGCTCACAGTTCAGTAAAATAGTCACATACGTGTCAATGTCAACTGCAGGAAAGGAAAGTGAGTCTTTAATCTGTTTTTGTCATTATCCAATACCACACTAATTATAATTATTACAAAATGTATACTCACCCTTTCACACCTTCACCGCTTTTAGAACGAGCAAACTACAGCAGGGCGTTTTATACCTTAAAAACCAACAAGTGCATTACTTTGGATTAGTTGGAAAACTTAGTTTTCTTAATGTAATCTCATAAAGTAAGATCATGTCTTTAAAAGTTGCTCTCGTTTTCTACTTTACAAAAGTATAATATCTTACCGTCTATAAAAGCTGCGGAGGTTCTCTACCATGGAAAATAAAAGAATTTTCGATATCTGATGAAA